TATATATAGTATATATAGTATATATAGTATATATAGTATATATAGTATATATAGTATATATAGTATATATAGTATATATAGTATATATAGTATATTCTATAGTAAAGTTGACTCACCCTGTATAAAAAAATAAAATAATTATAAAAAAAGTAAAAAATTTTTTTTTGTAGGTATATCCACAGCAAGGAGAAGCCGTTCAAATGCACCGAATGCGGCAAAGGCTTTTGCCAGAGCCGGACTCTGGCCGTGCACAAGATCCTCCACATGGAGGAGTCCCCCCACAAGTGCCCCGTGTGCTCCCGCTCCTTCAACCAGCGCTCCAACCTCAAAACCCATCTCTTGACCCACAGCGAGCGCCCCCTTGAGTGCACTCTTTGTGCCCAATTTTTCGCCACCTACTCCGATCTCAAGACACACGAGACGCGTCATTGCCCAAAAATTGAGGAAATTCAGCCCCCGACGACAACCTGTCTCGATTTGACCAAGAAACCTGCGCCCAAGGTCAAATTGGGGTTCTCCATCGAGGACATTATGAAGAGATAAATGGGGGAAATGTTTCTGTTTTGGCCAAAGATGATGACTACCTCTGATTTTCGATGAGACTGAGGAAGAGTTACCGTGTTATTGTATATAGTTTTGTGTAAATAAATATTTATTTCCTTGATTGAGGTTAATGGGTTTTATTTTGTTTTTTGATAAGATAATCGATGGGTTGTTGACACCGGTTGGAGAATAACTGTTGTTTTTTAAGACCAAAGAAAATGTTTTGAAAGAAGTGGGCAATAAAAAAGTTTACAGATTTATGAGCTTTTATTTTACATTGGACAGTCTGAATAGATGGTTTAGTGATGTTTTGTTGTTAAATGAAATAAGATATAACACTCACTGGAATTTTTATGTAAAATAACATTAAGAAAATAAAGAATTAAGTTATGATTTTGTGCAAATTTTTCTTTACATTTGGTGTGGTTTAAAATCTAAAAAAATAAAAATATACCTAGGGTAAGTCCGGAAGAGATGGACCACATTTGAAAAATCTGCTGTATAATTTTAATTTTTAATTCGAAAGTTTTTCTCAACTTGAAGCATTTTGCTATGAGAGATGGAGACTCCTCCTGCTGGTTTATCTTTCCCGGATTTACCCTAACAGAAAAGCATGTTCTTCAAATTTAAAAGGAATCAATTATTTAAGTATTATAATTGTTCGACAAGTACTTATCTTATTCGCAAACGTCACAAAAGTGACCACTTTTATGGCTAAATGTCACAAGTAAGAGTTTCACCTTTCAACTATTGAGTAAAAATTCTATTTTTGCGCCTAAGCGTTTGTACTTTTACCGTGACACTGTTAACATTTACCAATGTTGTTTTTGACATTTTTTACTACCAACTGCACTAGTTAAAATAATAAACACTTTCAAAAATCTCAACACAAATTCCGATACTGACGCTTAATATTTGTTTATAAGTGCTGTTATGATCTCATTACTTGCAAAACGTCCTGATTATTTTGTTCATTTACTTGCTAATTATAGTGTTGCTAAGTTTGTGTATAAAATAGTATATTTTATTTGGCGTAAAAGTGAATTTATGTGGCTCAACTAAATTATTTGCCTCACTGCGTTCGGTAAACTAAACGTTTAACTCCACTACATAAGCTGTCAATTTTAATTTTATTAAAAAAAAAATGAAAATGCTAATCAAAAAAATCTTACTTAATAAATGTAATAAAAAAAAGTGAAAAAAATATACGAGTTTTTGGATTTAGAATTTTATTGATGTTATGTTGACTTTTGAAAATTTTAAAAACATCATTCAACTACGATTTTTATTTTTTTTATTTATT